GGATGTTAAGGTCTCCCATTATAATTGTATTATTAGTTATTTGATTTTTTATTTCTATTAATATTTGTTTAAATAGCTGGGTGCTCCCATATTTGGAATAATTGCCATCTCTTCCTCTTGAAGTTTTCACCTAACTAGTATTTAGTGACCTTCTTTATCTCTTTTGATCATTCTTCATTTGAAATTCACATTGTCTGCAAACACAATAGGTACCCCTATTTGGTGAGGTGTTCATGTTGCATACATTATTATTTTCCATCTTTTTACTTTCAGTCTATGAATTTTCATTTGAGTTAGGTGAGTTTCTTGTAGACAGCATATGGTTGGATGTTGTTTCTTGATCTGCTAGTCTGTTTCTTTTAATTGGTGGAATTGAGGTCATTCACATTAATGGTTATAACTGATACATATTGGCTCATTCTTTTCATGTAATCTTTCTGCTGTTGATTCTTTGCCTTTCCCCCTTTGTTTAATTGTTTGCCTTACTTAGTGATTTTTTTTTGTTGTTGTTCCTGGAGTTGTAGTTATTTTTATGTCTATCTAGAATACCTTTTAGTATTCTTCACATGGTTGATTTTGTAGTCATGAAGTTGTTCAGCTGTTCTTTGTCATGGAAGTATCTTATTTCTCCATCAGTTTTGAAGGATAGTTTTTACAGGGTACATCAATCTGAGTTGGAAGTTGTTTTCCTTTAGAATCTGAAATACTTCACTACATGATCTTCTTGACTTCATTTTTTGTGTTCAAAAGTCTGCTGTGATTCTGATGGGCTTTCCTTTGTAGGTAATCTGTTTCTTTTCTCTAACAATTTTAATACTGTTATTATTTTGAGTTTCTGGGATGATGATTATTATATGTCTGGGTGTAGATTTATTTTGGGTATGGCTGAATGCAGTTCTATATGCTTCATTTATCTGTATGTCAGTTTCTTTTCCCATGTTTGGGAAGTTTTTGGCCATTACTACTCTAAATAGTCTTTTGAAATCATTTGTGTTGTCACCTTAATTTTTGTTTACACCTATCAATCTTATATATTTTTCTTTGCATCATCTTTAAACTGTTGCATTGTTATTTCCTGATTCCTTGTTATTTTTAAAAGATCGTTCCTTTCACTGGCTGCACTTTTGTCTTCACTGTCCTGTACAATGGTCAGTCAGTTTTGCCAGCTTTCCATGGAATTTTTGATTTCCTGGATATCTCATTGAACCTGTTTCATGTATTTTATTTTGTTCTTATACTTTTCATTCAAGGTTTCCATCTTTTGCAGTGTTCCTCAATTTTTAAACTGTTTTCTTTAGATATTTTCAGTAATTCTTTTATTATGTTTATCATTTCTTTTTTTACCTGGAAGATTAGTTTGGATCTGAGTTTCTTTACAGCTTTATAGAGCTGTTTATCTTTTTTTTTTACTTCAGTTGCTATCATTTCAGAAGTTTTAGCTACATGGTTTATACTTTTTTACCTATGTCCATGTCTCCTAGCCTTATTTGGCATGGGCTGGAAGTTTGAGATTGCATTTTACTCTATCATTTTATCATTTTCCTGTATTCCTCTGGAGAAGCCAAATGCAAGGTCTCAGTTGCTTCCTGGGTTGAGGATGTCTTTGTACTGCATGGAGTTTCCCAAGTTGAGGGGGGTGGTTAGGCAGGCCTTATCAAGTGCCTAGTGGCACTCAAAGAGTCCTCAAATGGGGGGAGTACATGGGGTGGACCTTCAGTACACATCATATGGCCCTCTGAAACTTCCTGGCTGCTTAAGGCTGCTGGGCAGGACACTGTCAGGTTCTGAGTGGCATACCTAGGCCAAAGAGCTAGACAGAGTACACAGTACAGGCCTTCAGTTGATGCCACACAGCATACCAAAGCTTCCTAGCTTTTTGGGACACTGGGTGGGACTCTTCCAGGTTCCTGAGCAGGGTTCTGAGCTTGCACAGTTAGGTGGAATTCACTCTCCAGGCCTTTGATCCAAAACAGGCAGTTCTCCTGCCATTATGGGTCATTGGGTGAGGCCTAGCCTGACCAAGACATGCAGTACAAAGACATCCTCAACCCAGGAAGCAACTGAGACCTTGCATTTGGCTTTTCTAGGGGAATACAGGAAAATGATAAAATGATAGAGTTTATTTATTTTAATTAATACAGTATTTGATTTGTCTTCTTTTTTGCTAATATATTTTCTCTCCCTTTTCTGATTTTTACCTGTATTTTTGCTTTAATATGTACGTCATATTTCCCCCTTTCATCAATTTATTGCTCTTGACTTAATCGTATTTTCATATGGGTGAATATTCTGTCTAAATTTTCTGGTTAATTTCAATAATATCTTCATTTTTACTTTTTTGTCCATTTTTCTAGTTTCCCAAAGCTTGTGGTATCATCCTTTGTCCTCCAGTCTTTCTTTGATTTTATTTATCTTCACTTATGTCTGTTTTATCTGATCAACATTTGCAAATCAATAAATGTAATACATTGATCAACAGAGCCAAAGACAAACACGATCAACTTGATAGATGAAAGAATAGCTTTTGACAAAGTCCAATATCCAGTTGTGATAAAAGTTATGGAGAAAAATTAAATAGATGGTCTTTTCTCAGTCTGATAAAAAATCATCTATGGCAAAGCAACAGCCAGCCTTACAGTAATTGGACAAAAACTGAAAGCTATCACTCTAGAATCAGGAGCAATGCAATAATGTTCACTATTACTACTCCTATTCAATGTAGTTCTGGAGATGTGAGCCAGAGGAATTAGATAACAGAGAGAAATAAAAGGAATAAGAATAGGAAAGGAGCATGATGTAATATTTTACATAGGACCCCAAAATCTCCCCTAAAAGACTATAGATTTAATAACCAAATTCAGTTATGTAACTATATATAGTCAACACTCAAAATTCAATAACATTCCTGTACCAAAGTACAAATTCATGGAGAGAGAAATTAGGAAAGCTTCACCATTTACAATAACTTACCCCCAAAATACATAGTAATCAATTCAGCAGATGAAAGATCTATATATTGAAAATTACAGTGCTCTTTAAAAGGAGACAGAAGAGGGTATGAGAAAATAGAAAGATCTCCCTTGCTTAAGGATCAGAAGAACCAACATAGTGAAAAGGCCATACTCCTAAACCTATTACACAGATTTAATGCAGTTCCAATCAAAATGCCACTAGAATGCCTCACACAACTAGAGAAAATATTCCAAAAATTCACTTGGAACAAGAAGAGACCTAGAAAATTAAAAGTAATTCTCAGTAACAGAGGCAAGGCAGGAAGAATCACAATCCCTGATGTGAAATTATACTACAAATCTACTGTGATTAAAAAAAGCATGGTGCCAGGCATATAGCTGCATGACACAGCATCTGCCTGGCAAGTGTGAGGTCATGAGTTTGATTCCTGATACCCAAAACAAAACAAAGCAAGATAAACACACAAAGAAACAAAAGCATGGTGTTGGCAACAGCAGACCTGAGTGATGATGAGTGGAATAAATTAGAAGATACAGAACAACCACAAACACACTCAGACACCTTATCTTTGACAAAGAGGCCAAACATATTGACTGGAAGAACAGCAGTCCCTTTAATAAATGGTGCTGGAAAAACTGGCATTCTACATGCTGAAAACTAAAACTAAACTTATGTCTCTCACTGAAGACTAAATTAAAATAAAAATGAATCAAAGACCTAAGTATTAAAATGAAAACACTAAATCTACTAGAAGAGAAAATAGGTAGAAATCTTGAAGACATAGATGTAAACAGAACCTGCAGGGACAAAAATCAGACTACATGGGAAATATTACAAAGAATCAACAATGGAATCTCATTTTATTAAAAGGTTGCACACATCAAAAGAAATTACTGACGGAGTGAAAAGACAACTCAAAGAGTGAGAAAAATTTAGCCAGTTGTTCCTTAGACAAAGGACTTATATCTAGACCATGTAGACAACTGAAATAAACCAGATCTTCCAAAGTCAAGGACCCAGTCAAAAAATGGGCATCCATGATAAATATGCACTTCTCAGATGAAGAAAAACAAATGGTAAATAAGAAAAAACATTTAATATTATTGGTCATTTGAGATATACAAATTAAAACCACACTGATATTTTGTCTCATTCCAGAAAGAATGGCTATCATCAAGAAACCAGTCAAGTGCTAGAGGGACTGTGGGGAAAAAGGAGCCCTTCTCCACTGTTGATGGGAGTGCAACCTGGTGCAACCACTATGGAAATCAGTATGGATACTCACCATCCCATTCAGCACAGCTATTCCCCTTTTGGGTATTTCCCCAGAAGAGTGAAGAACATCATACCACAGGGATATATGTGCACCTATATTTATAGCAGCACAAATTGTATTAGCTAAATCTTGGATACAACCCAAATGCCCATTAACCAATAATGGAGATACTCAAATTATGGTCTTTTCATAATGGGATACTATTCATCCATACAGAAAGATAAACGAGACTTTTATAGGTAAATGGATGCAACCTGAGATCATACTCATGAGTGAAATAAATCAGATTCACATGTATAATCTTCTTGTTGTGAGAAACTGAAAGAGTAAATAAGACCTAAAGTATACAACCGATATTGTGAAATGTGGAGAAATAGTTCAAATGGAAAAAGGAAGTAGGGAAAGCATGGGAGGGAAAAGGAAAAAAATAATGCAAGTTAGTTCTACTACTAGTATCTCTTACTTCATTGAAAAGAAAGATTTTTACTGATATTCATTGGAGAAGTTTTTATGGCCCTATCTTATACTCTGAATAACAATTTTAAAGATAGCAATATGCAATGCATTAACTATTGTTATTCTCATATTATTTTTAATGAAATTTTGTACTGCTTTTTTCCCATAAAATAAAATTTCAAATGAGATATATTTTATAATCTGTTAGATTAACCAAATGATCTTTTTACCTCTGACCACCTTAAAAATTATCATTAGGAGATTTACTAGAGTGGTATAGAAAAGTCAAACATACCTGCTAAATTGACCAGGAATGTGGAGCCCCCATAGGAATAGAATCCTTGGAGAATAGCTTCTGCAATTTGTGAGGCATCAGGAAATTCAGCATCCAAAGCATTCTCAAACTTGAAAATGTTCTCCTTTTTACCAGTCACTAATAGCACAATCCCAGTTAGGGAAATTAAACAGAGAATAGCCATCTTCATTAAAGTACTGACAGTTTGAAACCAAGATATTATTGCCAACCCTCGAATATTCAGAAGTCCCAATGACCACAAAATGGCCAAAGCTAGGCATTTCTTTGGTAGCTCTGGTGGCAGGCACAGATCATAGAAAGGCTGAATTAGATAGCTAGCTACCAACAAGCTTTGAGCAGCCAGTCCTATGAAAAGACCAAAAACTTCCATCCAAAGATTCAAGAAAGCAACACAAGATCCAAGGGATTTTTTCAGAAAAAAATAAGGAGCTGCACTTGTAGGGAAGGTGGTTCCCAGTTCTGCAACACAGAGACCATTGATCATACTCAGTATCCCACAAAGTGCCCAAATACTCAAGGAGACAGGAATGTTCAGTGAGGAGTATTTCAGCACCCCTTTAGGTGATACAAATATTCCTGCCCCTATTACGGCACTTAGTAAGAAGATGTTTCCATGCAAGAATCCTATTGTCCTTGATTGCATGATTTTCCTTTTTTAAATTCTGAAAAATCAACTTGAAGCTTCACATGGGTTTGTTTTATAGTTTCCTTTTCATTTTAGTAAGCCTCCTTATGAAGTGATATTTTATCAATATTAACTCATATCATCCTCACACAAGTTTTTCATTATTTAACTTAACTTGGTTTTAAAAATTATTAACTTGCAATTTTTTCTGATCTTGTGTTTTTTCCTACAAACAGATTTAAAAGTTTCATATGTAACTTATTATTTTTTTAATATCACATATGCCAGTGAACAAGTTAGTCACTACTAGTTTGAAAGGTAAGATTTCAGATGGTTTTTGGAGAGCAAAGTGTCCTTTGGAGTTTTAACACTACTATTGGACCCAAGTCCATCTGCTTGATTCTCCAAAGCCAATAATTGGGACAGCAGAGCTGAGGAGAGCATATCTATTATTCAAAGACTAAATATTTGAGAATGTGAGGGAGATATTGTATCTATGGAAAATACTTTCTCATATGTGATAAAACTTTTATAGGAAAGGAAAGATGGGCAGGAAGGATGCATACTGGGCAGATTCTCTTCTTCCCAGAGGGTCCTCTCCCCATTTTTCTGGAACTCTTGATGAAAACATGGTGATCTTCTGTGACTTCCTGGAACTTGAACCTGTACCCTGTAGATAAACATTCCTTTTCTGGAAGCTTAATGTGATTTAACATTATTTTTTTCTTTGAAGAAAGAAAAGAAAATTTAAAAAATAGAAAAAAGAGGAAAAAGAATAATACAGAATTTAAAAAAAAACGCCATAGAATCACTAGTTGATACATTACATATTGTCATCTTAAAAATAGTTGTTAAAGTTATAAAGTCAAAGCATAAAAAGTGGTTAGACACTCAAATATTGGCAGCGCAAATTCTTCTGTTCAATGATCTAACAGAAATTTAGTAATATGCTCATCTATCTTATACACTATACATATTATTATATCCTTTAGAGAACTTTCCTTCCCTTTCACATTTGCAGTATCTATTATACATTTTGGATCCTGTTACTCTGTCAGTTATCATTATTTTTTACATTAGAGAGACAAAGTAATATTTACTAATGTGTCATTTATTTCACTAATGAAGATATTCTCAAGTTGCCTCCATTTACCTATAAAGGTCTCAAAATCATCCTTTTTATTTATAACCGAGTAGTATTCCATTGTACAAACATACCAAATTTTTTCATCCATTCTGCAGTTGATGAGCATTTTGGTTGTTTCCAAGATTTTGCTGTCACAAATTGGGCTGCTATGAACATGAGTGCATATATATCACTGTGACATGACATTTTCAATTTTTCTGGGATAATATCCAAGATGGGAAAAGCTGCATTCAATGGAACTTCCAACGCTAGGTTTTTGAGTACTCTCCATACTGTTTTCTGTAGTGGTTGCACCCGTCTGGACACTCACCAACAGTGAAGTTCCTTTACCATCGCATCCTCACCAGCATTTGTTATTATTTGATTTCCTGATGGTGTCCATTCTGTAGTGAGATGAAATCTCAATGCTGTTTTACTTTGCATTTCTCAAAACACCAGTGGTGGTGAACATTTCTTCATATATTTATTTGCCATTTGTTTATCTTTATCTGAGAACTATATGTTCATCTCCAATGCCCATTTTTGGAGAGGGTCTTTGAATTTGGGGGGCTTGATGTTTTTCAATTCTTTATATGTTCTGGATATAAGTCCTTTGTCTGAGGAATTATTGGCTAAAATTCTTTCCCATTCTGTGGGTTTTCTTTTCACTTTGTTAGTGATTTCTTTTGAAGTGCAAACTTTTTAGTAATATGAGATCCCAGTTGTTGATTCTTTGAAGTATTTCCCATGTGGTTTACATTTTATTCATGAATTCTTTGCCTACTCCTATGTCTCCAAGATTTCTAAGTACCTTGTCCTCCAGTGGATTTAGTGTTTCTATTTTAATATTTAGACCCTTGATCCATTTTGACTTTAGTTTAATGTACAGTAATAGGCCTGAGTCTATTTTTAGTCTTCAGCATGTGGAAAGCCAATTATTCTAATTCCATTTATTAAACAGGCTATCTTTTTTTCCAGTGAACGTGTTTTGCTCCTTTGTCAAATATAAGGTGGCTGAGTGTCTTTGTAGTACTGTTTGCATCTTCTAATCTGTTCCACTGATTCTCAGGTCTATTTAATTGCCATTACCATGCTGATTTTATTACTGTGGTTTTGTAGTATAGTTTCAAGTCAGGAATTGAGATGCCTCCTGTCTTGCATTTGTTGCCCAGAATTGTCTTTGCTATTCTAGGTTTCTTCTATTTCTAGGTGAATTTTAGGAATATTTTATCTAGATCTGTAAGGTATGTTGATGATATTTTGATAGGGATTGCATTGAGCCTGTATAACAGTTTTGGGAGTATGGCCATTTTCACAATGTTGGTTCTTCCTAGCCAAGAGCAAGGAATAGCTTTCCATTTTCTAATATCCTCTTCAATCTCTTTTAGAGTAGTGAAATTTTCAGCATATAGGTCTTTTATATTCTTGGTTAGGTTGATTCCTAAGTATTTCACTTTTTTTAGATGCTATTGTGAAAGGTGATTTTCCATAATTTCTTTCTCAGTGAGTTTTTTGTTTTGTACAGAAATGCTATTGATTTTTCAGTGTTGACTGTATTCAGCTGTGCTGCTGAATTTGTTTATTACCTCTAGTAGTCTTTTAATGGAGCTTTTGGGGTCCTCTATGTAGAGTATCATGTCATCTGCAAATAATGGTAATTTAACTTCCTTTCCTATTTTTATTCCCTTTATTTCTCCCTCTTATCTGATTGCTCTGGCTAGTATGTCTAATCTGTATTGAATAGGAGTGGTGATAATGGACATCCTTACCTTGTTTCTCATTTTAGAGTGAAGGCTTTCAGTTTTTGTCCATTTAGTATAATGTTGGCTGTTGGTTTGTCATAAATGGCCTTTATAAGATTGAGGTGCATACTGTCTATTCTGAGTTTCTGTAGGATTTTTTATCATGAAACGGTGCTGGACTTTACAAAAGCTTTTTCTTCATCTATTGAGATGATCATGTGATTTTTACTTTTAGCTCTGTTGATGTGGTGTATCACATTTATTAATTTGCATGTGTTGAACCATCCCTGCATTCCTGGAATAAATCCTAATTGGTCTTGGTATATAAACTTCTTGATAATTAATTTGCTGCATTCTATTTGCTGATATTTTACTGAGAATCTCTGCATCAATGTTCATAAGTGAGATTGGTCTATAGTTCTCCTTTGCGCATGAGTCTTTCGCTGGTTTTGGTATCATAGTGATACTTGCTTCCAGGAATGAGGTAGGGAGGACTGCTTCTCTTTCAATTTCATTGAAGAGTTTAAGGAGAGTTGGCATTAAATCTTCTCTAAATTTCTTATGATATTCAGTGGTCAATCCATCAGGACCTGGGCTTTTTTTTTGTTAGTAAGTTTTTAATCACATTGTCTATTTCAGTAGCTGATATTGGGTTATTCAAAATTGTTAAATTTTCTTGATTGAGATTTGGTAGTTCATATGTTTCTAGAAATCTGTACATTTTCTTTCTGTTTCCACCTATATGATTAAAGATTTTCAAAGTTGGTGTTCATGATCTTTTGGATTTCCATGGGATCTGTAGTAATTTCCCTCTTTTGAGTCCTTATTGCATGGATTTGAGTGTTTTCTTTCTTTTTCTTGAAAATGTTGGCTAGAGGTTTATCAATTTCATTTATACTCCCTTTTGATTCATTAGTTCTTTGGTTTTTTTATTTTCAAATGCATTAATTTCTGCTCTGATTATTACAATTTCTTCTCTTCTGTGAGCTTGTGTTTGACCTGCTCTTCCTTTTCTAGAAGCTTGACATGTATGTAGCATTAGGTTATTTATTTGTGCTCATTCCATTTTCTTGATATGACTATTACTATGAGTTTCCCTCTTAGGACTGTTTTCATCGTGTCCCATAGGTTATGGTATGTTGATCTGCATTTTGATTGTATTGTAGGTATTGTTTTATTCCTTCTTTAATTGCACCTGTAACTCACTGGTTGTGTAGAAGGTTATTATTTAATTTTCATATATTTATGCAGGTTTTGAAGTTTTTTTGCCATTGATTTCCAATTTTAGTGTGCTATGGTCAGATATTATGTATGGAATAATTTTGTCCCTTTACACTTAGTTAAGAATTTTTATGGGTTAATATGCAGTCTATTTGGAGAATGTCCCATGTGCAGTTGAGAAGAATGTGTATTCTGATGTGATTGGGTGGAACACTTTGTAAACATCCACTAAGTCCATTTGCTCACAGATATGATTCAGTTCTATTATTTCTTTGGTACCTTTTTGTATAGTTGATCGATCCTTCTGTGATGATGGGGTGTTAAGGTTTCCTATTACAACTGTGTTCTTATGTATTTGATTTTTCATGTCCATTAGTATTTGTCTTACATAGTTGGGTGTGCCTGTATTTGATGTGCGTATATTAATAACTGTTAGTCCTTCCTCTTGTAGTTTTCCACTTACAAGTACGTAGTGGCCTTTTAAATCTTTTTTAATCCTTTTAGGTTTGAAGTTCACTTTGTCTGCAAACAGAATAGCTACCCCTGCCTTTTTCTGGGTTTCTGTTCTATGGAATACTGTTTTCCTTCCTTTGACTTATAGTCTATCAGTTTCTTTTTGAGCCAGATGCTTTTCTTGTATACAACATACTGTGGGATCCTGTTTTGTGATCCATTTTGTCAACCTGTTCCTTTTTAATAGGTGAATTGAACCCATTTACCTTATGGATATCACTGATATGTACTGGCTTGAGTTTGAAATATTCTGTTCCTATTTCTGGTTTCTTGTTTTTCTCCCTTGTTTAATTTCTTGTGTAGCCTGGTGGTTCTCCTTCTGGAGATTGTGGTCATTTTATCTCTATCTAGCATGTGTTGCAGCACTCTCTGGGGTTTGTTTGGTGGATGTGAATTTCTTCAGTTCTTCTTTGTCATGGAAGTATCTTGTTTCTCCATTAAATTTGAAAGACAGATTTTCTGGGTACATCAGTCTG